AGTGTTATTTATGCTATAAACGACAAGAGGAGCTACGCGTTTGGAAATGTAATATCACTGAGCAAACGTCACAAAGGCATATTGTTTTATCTAGCAACACTCCTTCTAATCATAGCAAATGATGTAAATCTTAATCCTGGACCATCAAATGAAACAATTTACCCATGTGGAACATGCGACAAGCCAGTGACATGGGCTGAAAGGGGTATTATATGTGACAATTGTAATCAATGGTACCATGTTAATTGTCAGTCAATGTCATCTAGTGTGTATTTAGAGCATATAGAACACTCAGGTCTAGCCTGGGATTGCCTAGTTTGCAACTGTCCTAACTACTCAACGTACTGTTTTTCCATCACAACAATAGACACATCAAACATCTTTAGTGTACTATCAGATGGACTGTGCTCACCACCAGCCCAGTCATCACAACCCATTCATACTTCTACACCTATCAGATCCAAACAAGTGCAGAGGAAATCGAAACAAAACATCCGGATCCTGAATGTGAACTTTCAATCAATAAAAACTAAGCAACATCAAATTGAAAATTTAATTGACAGCACCAAGCCCGACATTATTCTCGGTACAGAAACATGGATAGATAGTTCAATCAAAGACACTCAAATATTTCCAGCTGGTTTTAACATATTTAGAACAGACCGAAATCTAAACGGTGGGGGTGTACTTGTGGCAGTAAGAGACACATTCATTGTCACTTCAGTACCAGAACTTATAACAGACTGTGAAATTACATGGTGCAAACTTGAGATATACGGTCATAAAGCACTATACCTAGCTAGTTTCTATAACCCAAAAACATCCAATGAAAAGGCTATGAATCAGTTCACACAAAGCATAACTCGTGCGTCTAAAATAAACAAAACGCTAGTCCGACCAACATTAGAATATGCATGCTCAACCTGGGACCCATATCAACAAAACAACATCAACAAACTGGAGGGAGTTCAGAAAAGAGCGGCTAGATACGTAAGAAACAACTACAACTACAATAGTGCAACATCAGTGTCCAATATAGTGAAAGACCTAAACTGGGCAGTACTACAAGACAGAAGAAAGAACACACGACTATGCCTATTCTACAAGATCGTTAACAACAAAGTGAAAATAGACCCTAGTGATAAGCTAATACCAACAGGAAGAGCAAGCAGAGCCCATAATGGCAACTCATTCAGGCAACAAAAATGCTCAACAAATATTAGACGGGATTCCTTCTACCCGAGGACAATCAGAGACTGGAACGCCCTCCCCTCCAGTACAGTGTCCGCAGTGAGCCTTGAATCCTTCAAGACTCACCTGGCTGCCTAGTTTATTCTGCTCTGTTTTTAAACTCACTACTTGTATAGTTGCACCTGTTTTTAACGCGCACACCCTACACAGTGGCAGAATAATCAGCTTATTGATGGCGGCCGCTTTCCGGTAGAAGTAGAAGTAGAAGTACAGAGTATGATGTACAATGTAATTAATTATATATATTTTAATGCATGTTCATGATCATTTTCAGCTCTTATTTTAATTATTTTATAGCTGTTGCTGCATTGTGCCTGAGATGATGCCCTCAGCACTGGCGTTTGATAACTTGGTGGATGTAGATGCTCAGCCAGTCAGTCACTAGGCTTGTGAATATGGTGAGAACTAGCTCAAATTATCGCTCAAACCAAGTAAACTATAACTTTGATTTTATTAATCCATGTCTATTAGCATAATAATAAATTTTTACGGTGCGACAGTTGGGGCGAGCGCAGTTATTTACTATCAAAAACCTCACAAAGCTTTTACTTACACTGCCTATCCTCAGTTCATTAAAAAAGAAAAAAGAATTAGAAATCACTTCCCAGGCATTGGGATTGAGATTCCGAACTTTCGGAAGTTTCCCACAAAATCGGAAATACCCGAGCCGTTTAAGTGACGAAAGTATGGCGTCAAATAAAAAGTCCTGTTGACTCTGAACGCAAACGATAGTTTTGTGGCATGGAGATTGCACTAAATCGTTGTTTGTAATTTTTTCAAGTAAGTTGTTGCTATGTTTTAGCCACCATGTTGCTATGCACCGCAAAGGATTATTGGGAGTTTTGAATTTTTTCACGCGGTGAGATAAAAATTTCTTGGAACAATGTGCAGATTTTAACCCGAATTTCCTCCGTTCGTACACGTTAGTATATTGAGCTCGCTACAGGAGCGTCGCTTCACGACGCTCGCTGCGCTCGCTTTTAAAAAAATTATAGCAACTTTGCCATGTAAATAAAATTTAAAGGTTTATATTCTTAACACGCTTAAATTCCTTATTCTAATAATTTATAACAATGCATTCTGACAGGTAATCTAAACATGAAAACTGCACAGACATGCATAATTATTTTAGATCAAATAGCAATCATCTACTATGAAGTATACATGCATTTTACAGGAATCCAGGTGCTCACAAGGACAAGAGGTGTATGAAAAAAAAAACAAAAGGTAAGACTTCTGAATTATTTTCTAAATCAATAAAATCACATGAATTGAAATTATCTTTTTCAGTGTTAGTCAGGCATTGAGCTTGAGCTCAAACCTTTTTGTTTTAGCTTACCTGAACCATTTTAAGGCCTAAGTGAGTTTTTTGATCAGTGCCTGATTTTGTCTGTCATCTATAAACTTTTCAGATTTACACATTTATCAGAATTAATCCTAATTTGAACAAAAAATTGCAAGATAGTGAATTAATTCATATTCTTTAGTAAACTGATTTGCCAGGTTAATAAAAAAACAATTGTTTTGTATAGCTTTAGTTTATTATTTGTCGTATATTTATATGGATAACAATAATGATGCATCTTAATGGTCATCTTTTTCTTTCAGAAATTGTGTAAGGATCGAAAGTTTGAAGTGTCTGTTGGAATGATCAACATCGAACTTTCTGAGCCAATTTCGTGACACCAATTAACTGTCAACCTTCTAACATAACCATTTACTAATTTCATGGAATATCAGTGAGGAAGTGATTCTCTAGCAAACACGTCAGAAGTTTTGGATCTTCATTAATTGGGATCTTTGGCACGTAGGTTGAGGGAAAATAGCATCTGTTGATTTTATGGGATCATTGTATCAATATAGTTGTGTAGTACATATTTTTTGCATGTAATACATGTGTTTGTCACTCTAGTCATTAACTTTGTATCAGTACATAAGCATGATAAGCCACTGGCAGTTCATTGTAAATGTATACCCTGTTGAGGTTTCAATGACCATTCCAATTCCATGGCCAATGTCATTTAATAAAACTAACTTCTTATTTTAGAAAATGCAGGCTGGAGTTTACTAAATACATGTATATCATAACATGATTATCATTAATTTAACCAAGGTGACTGATTCTCCAGTAATCATATTTTTCTTTGTAAATAACCTTTGATGTAAAATACTTTCTGTGAGAATACTTTATGAAAGTGTGCTTATATTGTACATCTGAGAGTTATATGCAAATATTTGTCTCAAAAAAACATTGTAAAAGAAACAATGAATTTTTTATTTTGAAAATATAGATTTGATCTATGAAAAATTGTGATGTTATCAAGTTTTTTTGGTAATTATTTGGCACTAATCTGCTAATTATTTCAGTTTTCATTGTACATGTATTTGGAATTTGGAATCCTGGAATTCCATGTATTTCCATGGAATTCCTTAGATTTACAAATATCCTGGAATTCCACGGATTTCCTCCGCAAATTTCCATTCTGGCATTGTTCCGCTCTTTTCCAGGCTAGATTCAAAATTCCAAATCATTCCGAAAAAAGTTCCGTCCCAATACTCCGGAGAATTCTTAAGAATTCCGCGGAACAAAAATTCCATGGAATTCCATGGAATATGCTTTGGAATTCCATGGAAGTTGCGGAAAATCTACATTAGGGAGTTGAGCGGTTGAGACGTCATAGCTATGTGAGGTGAAAACACTGTAAACATGGATTTAGCAACATATTTTGGGTAATTTTGACAGTTTTATTCGCTGTCAGAATGGTTTATTTATTTCCTTCTATCAAATATTAGGTCAAGGAAGAATTGTTTACAACAATCTTCGTTACTGGAATGGAAATCGAGAGTTTTCCCGCACTTCTGATATTCGTCACACTGTGACAGGATATCATTTTGATATCCTTTCACACTGTGACAGGATATCATTTTTATTCAATGAATAAATTACAGTATTTCACGGGTAAAAATGTAATAAAATGTAAACAAACATCACAACGTCGTTAATACTACATAGATCAGAATAATTCTTGCACCATTAGAAAGATAAAATATAAACGATAAAAAATGTACAGAATTTTTTTTATTGTTAGTTCCATTCTAATGATAAATAATTTCAAATGTGTAATTTTACAGTACGTCAATTTATCCTGCAACTACCCCTTGCATTGACCTAATAAAGGTAACCTAATAAACCAAAGCTTTATCCGGTCACTGCCCTAATAAAGCCTCGTGCATGTATTCCGACGTTCCAAAAGCATTGTGACGTCACGTATATAATGTAACATTGCAGTTGTTTACGCCATGGCGTCATAGTTTCAACTGCAGAGATGTGCCTAAATCTGTCGGAATTAGCTTGTTTTGGACGCTCAAATGTAAAATTTTATTGCAGGATAAACAAAATACATGATAACTGACTTGAAATATAAGCGATATTTGGGCTCGGGTCGAAAACGTAAGAGGGCTCGGCAAGCCTCGCCCTCTATCACGTTTTCTTACCCTCGCCCAAATATCGCTTATATTTCAAGACAGTAACCATGTATTTTATATATATGCAGAATAAACTTAAAATAAAAAGCAGTTAGTAAAACTCGTAAACACAGTTTGACGTTTTTTATCATTAGAATGCGTGAAAAGAAGAAAACACTTGCTGTGGCCTTCAACTCGACATTTAGATATATCAACGACGTACTGTCAATTAACAATGGTAATTTCCACATTCCTATGTCGATACGATATATAAATATATATATATGAAACCATCAGAGATACCAAGGGTAGCCCTAAGATGGACTCCACCAGGAAAGAGAAACAGAGGGCGACCAAAGGAGACATGGCGACGGTCGGTTGAAAAGGAAATGAATGATCAGGGGTGGACTTGGGGCACTGTACAGGCAAAGGCAGCAGACAGACAGAGATGGAGGTCCTCGGTGCAGGCCTTATGTGCTCAAAGCACGAAGAGGACTAAGTAAGTAAATCTTTAGAGATCAATTGTATAATATTTATCCATAAAACAAAGCATAATAACAAGGGACGTTTTAACGCGCAAGAAAAATAACGTCATGGTTTTGCGTACTACGTCATCAGTTTCAGAGAGTGGTGATATGGATTCAGAAAACCACAGTGTGGTGATCCGGAAAATCGGATCAAACTCTGTAAAATTAACAGTAACAATACGATATATAAATACATATAATTAACAGTAACAAAAACAAGGAAATTGATGGGTATATAATAAATCCTTGGGAGAGTGAGATAAAAGATACCACAGAGTCTGATACATCTGTGTCATACTTGGATATTTTACTTGAAAAAGACATTACTGGTAATCTAACAACCATGCTCTATGACAAACGTGATAACTTTCACTTTTCTATCGTCCATACGGATTTTATATATCTTAGTTGATTCGATACGCAAGAGCATGCTCTACGTATGAACAAAATATCAGCAGTCTCGTTTAAAGTAATCATTTCGTAAGTTGTATGGTCGATACAATGACCTTGTCAGCAAATACTATTTATCATTGAGTCAAATGCTGCCTGACATTTTTCTTACTAATTGTTAGTCCATTATTTATATACTGAATTGACGACGGATTTTCCCGTTATTTCCTGATCATGACAAGGAGCATACGGCGGGTGTGACCGGTCGGCAGGGAATGCTCACTCCTCCATGGCACCTGATCCCACCTCTAATGTTTTGAAGGTCCGTGTTTGCTCTGCTCCTGTTTGTTTTGTTTTATAGACTTATTATCTTGAATACTGTTCGTTATTTCATAAAATAAAAGTGTTCCTATTTGGTAGATATGAACACTTGTTTTAGGGTTTTATATGATGTTGTCTGGTTACTGGATCATCTGCTTAGCTACCGGGATCGTGCTTCGCTTTTCCGCATGTGAGAGGTTTAAAGCACCGACAAAAACCTTCCTTCAATACCCTGATCATGACCAGACAACGTTTACCATGTCTTCAAGGTTCCAATTTTTTTTTTTATCTCCCTTTGATTTATTTCATCTCCTCTTTCTGCATGTCGAACGCATTACAGGTTATGGGGAGTGGCGATGTTACCCAACCTGTATAAATGCAACCAGAAAGAGACAAAATTCAGCGTTCCACTCTTTTATTTAACTAAACAATCCATTTCAATATTAATAATTACAATAAATAATTTTACACAAGATATTAAACATTATTATAAATATAAATACTTATGATATAAAACATTTAACCTGCAAATAAAACCAGCCATGTGAAAACTAAATAATTTTTACCAAAGCGCACTCAATTCCACAAAATAAGCTTACCTGTATAAATGCAACCAGAAAGAGACAAAATTCAGCGTTCCACTGCCGAATTCTCCCACTGAGTTACATTTATACCCCTGTGCGTGCCGTGCATAATTTAGTATTTCTTTTGAAATTGCAATAATTATATTTAACCTGAATTTTAATTTGTAATTACTTTTATTCTGACCTTTGGTACTTTTTAATTTTCTAATGCACTTTTAAAATAATTTCCAATTTTTTGCATAATCTTTAAATATTATTTTCTGTCGATAATTTATTCAGACATTTGAACTCTGATCACCCCCTATCTCCTTGGTTGCTTCTTCCTTCTGACCAAATACATCTTCCGAGTAAACAAGTAAACAACTGCATTCTAATGAATGGTATATGCTGGGAATCATTCGATCAGGTTAAAAGGTCACCCTACTGGCCAGAATCTGTGTATAATTATAGTTCTTCAGAGCTCGCGTTATCTGTCTCAGCCAAAGAGTGCAAATACACAAAAACGTGTTACAAACTTATTTTACTGCATTTTGTGTTATGATAAATTCCCCCCACTAACAAAAATCTTGTCCTCAAGATTTGTTTAAGATACTTTTTAGAGACTTTTAGTTAATATCGCTGAATTTTCAGATGGCTTTATCATAGTACAGCATTATAAACTATTCAAAATATTATTAAACATGCACAAGAATAATATGTTTTATACACAAAAAAAGTATAAATACGAAAACAACACAATATTCAAAATTTACATATACCTGGGTGGAGTCGGCAACACTCCTTAGAATAGTTAACAATAATCTGCAGGAAAAATGACATTCACAAAGTAATCATAAATTTAAAAATAAACACTTCAACGTCCAATCATTACCCTATTCGCTTAACCCAGAAAAAGAAGTTACCACAAAAATTACCTTCTGGAACCTTTTCACAATTAAAAGAAAATGAGTTTTCCTTGTTTTGCAAAGTAGGTATACTTTAAATAATATATTGTTACTCTACATATACATGTAAAATCAATACTCAATCAAAATCAATCTGACAATAAAGTCAATCAAACGAACTGAATTGTGTTATCAGATATACATTCAAGATCGTAAAAAAAAAATCCTTGTTAGACCTTACATGTTCAAAAGCACGAACACATTTCAACATTAATAAAAATTGTAGCCACCATTGACCAGAAAAAATCTAATCAATAAAAAATATATATATTGTGCTTGAGGGAGAGGAAAATATATAGAACGGCGTTTTAAAAAAAATCTGGTATGATTTTAAACAATTCCTTTTCCTTATAGCCAAATTTGATCTTTATACCAAAGGAAAAATCGTCCATAGTAATGTTTCAAGAAAATTTTCAAACAATCTTTTTTTTAATATCATTATTGTAAAATATTACCATGGATTGCTCTGTTAGCAGAGGAATTTTCTAGATAATTGAATGTCATTTACAAAATGTTATCTGTAGCATAACCTGAGCGTACCACTTATGTGAAAAGTTTAAACTTTACATGTTTGTATATTTGATTGTCAGAGTTTAAGTGAGTAATATATTAGTATGTTAACACAATTTGTATTCCATGCATTTTAACTCAGGCATAATCTACGTGCAAATTCTGACGTTTGACCGAAGGTAGTTGTTATTTTGTTGATAACAAACACATGCAAAGCACAAATACATGTATACAATGCAACCGTAAAAATAGTCAGTTTCATCATTCAGTTTTTAATTATCCGATCATCAACATGTATAACAAGAAAACATTTCCATAAACTCCAGAATTTAGTGGTACCTTTGTTTATAGAACCCGAGCATATATTTATCTTTCATATGTTAATATATCTTTATAACGTATATTTCTTTTATTTAATTCGCATCATTTAGTTTTCGTTTATTTAAGTTTGATCTTGAAAGGAGGAATGATTCTCGCAGTAAATTAGGAAGGATAAAGAATTTTGCTTAGAACTCCCATATAACAGACGACATGAAAGATATGGAAAGAGATGAACGTCCTGATAGAAGATTTATATGAATGATTTGTATGAAAAAGATGAAAAAGGTATTGGACGTTCCGAAAGAAGAAAGAAATGTATGACATATATAGAAGTCAAAAACAAAACTCAATCCTTTCCATTACGATACCCTTCCTTTCTTTAACCGTCTTCTTAAAATATTTCCCCTTTCTTTCATTTGTTCCTCGATTTCCACCCATAGTATTTTAACGACCTTTGTTAACCGTATTGACCCTTATATTCATCTTATACTCCTGTTTTAGAATTTCCTTTTTCTTCGTTTTGTTGACGAATGATACAATTGTTTTAACAACTGTGATACATTATTCGAAGGTTCCCAAGTAGGCTGTGACCCATCTGCCCATTTCACTAAATAATATCTTTTATTATTGATCCATTTCGATTTCAACAGTTTTTCTACCGTGTGCCATTCATCTTTATTCTGTTTCTTTTGGCTTTGCGCGTTTTCTCTGTTTATAATGTCATTTGCATTATTTTGTCTTTGGGGATTTTGCGGTTCCGTTGGGGGACGATAGTCTCTTGGGTCTTTGTACAATCTCAACCTATTTGCATGCACCGACGCTTTTAGTTCAACATGGTTGCTTGACCTTCTTAACCTAAACGAATGGTTTGGATTTACCTTAACTATATAATAAGGACCTTCCCATTTAGGCTCTAATTTATGTTTCTTACCTGGAGTTCTTTTCATCACTTTTAATAAAACTTCATCTCTTATTTTAAACTGCGGTTCTTTAGTTTTCTTATCATATCGCTTTTTGTTTTTCTCTTGAACCTTAGCCACATTTTTCTGCGCAAGTTCCTCACTTTGTTAAGTAAAGCATCAATGTACTCTTTTGGTGCTTTTTCCAAAACTTCCTTGGGGATCAATGAAACATCAAGGGGTAATGTCATTTCTTTCCCAAACAACATATAATAAGGGGAATACCCTGTCGACTGGGTTGATGGACTCATCCTGAACGCCATCATTACACTAGGTAAAATATCTTCCCAAGCTTCCTGATTTTTCTGACAATACGCTCTGAGTGATTGAGCTATTGTAGAATTGATTCTTTCACATGCCACATTACTCTGTGGATGATATGAACTTGTGACGTGCCGAGTTACCTGGAATATTTTACACAACGCTTGAACAACTTTTGACATAAAATTTTGTCCCCTATCACTGACCAACGTACGTGGAGCCCCGTATCTCGTAAATATTTCTTTGTACAATAAATGTGCAACCTCTGTTGCTTCTTGTGTTTTCATAGGCAGTGCCTCTGACCAGTGTGACAATGAATCTGTAACCAATAAAATATATTGATACCCATGCTTTGTTTTTGGCAAACCTGCCAATATATCCATATGCCATCGGGCAAATGTCCCTTCTACTGGTAATGGGTGTAACGGTGCGGCCCTACTTGCTGTATCCCGTTTTACCCTTTGACAAACATCACATGACGTAACATAGTCATACACATTTTGATACATCCCTGGCCAAAAATACTTTTGCTTTATTGCCAAATAAGTTCTGTGTACCCCCAAGTGACAACCACCTGCTAATGAATCATGATAAGATTTCAAAACATCATTTATGAAAGACTGGGGACATGCCAATTGTTTAATCATTGCTTCTGGGTTTGATTTATTCTTTGACCTGGGTT